GAATATATCTCAGTTTTCTGAACCCCTAGACCAAAATGAGCAGTTTACCCATGCACTGCAGGCAAAGCCCCACTGCATGGTAAAAAAAATAATTGCCCAGAGTTCTGCTTTAAAGATTAGCACAGTGGCCAAATGGTTAGCACTTCCGCCTAGCAGCACTATGGTTGTCAGTTCAAATCCCAACCATAGCACCATCTGCCTGGAGTTTGCATGTTCTCCCTGTGCCTGGGTGGTGGTGAGAGGGGGGAGTGTTGGTTGGTGTTATTCTCTCTCCACGGTGGGGGGGTTGGTGTTGGTCAGTGTCAAGCTCTCTTCACAGTGGGGGGGGTTGGTTGGTGTCACGCTCTCTCTTTTGGGGGGTTGTTGGTTGGTGTTATGCTCTCTCCATGGTGGAGGGTTGGTGAGGGTAGTGGGGGGGGGGGGGGTTAGTTGGTGCTATGCTCTCTCCACGGTGGGGGGGTGGTGGTGGTGAAGGGAGGGTTGGGGTGTTGGTTGGTATTATGCTCTCTCCACAGTGAGGGGGTTGGTGTTGATCGGTGTTAGGCTCTCTCCTTTTGGGGGTTGTTAGTTGGTGTTATGCTCCCTTCACGGTGGGGGGTGATGGGGGTGTTGGTTGTTGTTGTGCTTTCTCCATGGTGGGGGTGTGTGTTGGTTGTTGTTATGCTCCCTCCACGGTGGGGGTGTGTGTTGTTTGGTGTTATGCTGTCTGCACGGTGGGGGGTGGTGGTGGGGGCTGTTGGTTGGTGTTATGCTCTCTCCATGGTGGAGGGTTAGTGTCGGCTGGTGTCAGGCTCTCTCCTTTGGGGGGTTGTTGGTTGGTGTTATGCTTTCTCCACAGTAGGGGGGGGGGGTGTTGGTCGGTATCAGGCTCTCTCCTTTGGGGGGTTGTTGGTTGGTGTTATGCTTTCTCCACAGTAGGTGGGGGGGGACTGTTGGTCGGTATCAGGCTCTCTCCTTTGGGGGGTTGTTGGTTGGTGTTATGCTTTCTCCACAGTAGGGGGGGGGGGTGTTGGTCGGTATCAGGCTCTCTCCTTTGGGGGGTTGTTGGTTGGTGTTATGCTTTCTCCACAGTAGGTGGGGGGGGACTGTTGGTCGGTATCAGGCTCTCTCCTTTGGGGGGTTGTTGGTTGGTGTTATGCTTTCTCCACAGTAGGGGGGGGTGTTGGTCGGTATCAGGCTCTCTCCACGTAGCAGGTTGGGGTGGCGGATTTTTGTGTTGACTAGGGCAGCACAAAACCTTAAACACACCACTGGTTCTAATTGTCACATACAATTTTCCATGTGAGATTAAGCAGTTAAGAAGCATAAAAAAAAAGCCTGACGTTAGTGACTGCTCAGATCTTGCATCGGTCAAACAACTTTTATCGGTCATCTGCATATAAAATCGATGAGTTGCCAAGGCTGGAAAAGTAGCTGCATTTTCTAAATGATCCGCTAGAGGGCGGCAGAGGGCGCCCTTTGATCTCAGCGCTGCCAGCTGCAGCCTCTTTATCCCTACCCAGGGACAATGGCAGAGCATGGCACCACCTGGACCAGGGGGCAGAAATCAAGTGACAGGAGGAGTGGGAGGATGGATGTGGATTCAGGAAATGATTAGACTGGGGCTGGGGAAATTTAAGAGACTTATCTTTTTTTTTCTTAGGCAATTCTAATTGCAGTAAACTGAAATCCCTCTTCCCATGTGACCCTGGTCTGGCTCAGCAAGGATGGCAGATGAGTAATGTGCCAGATTCGCAATTGGCAGGTGATGAAGGATGACCTCATTAAAGATGCAGATAACAAGGAATTGCTCTTTGGAAATTAAAAAACCCCGTCCTGGTTCTGCTTGTAAATGCAAAAATATACATAGCCATTAATAGAAGGACCATTTTAGGCTGTTTTTTTGGGAGGAATCCACTTTTGGAGTCAGGAAGGGGAAATACATTACACTTTTTTAACCTTTTATTTATTTATTTTTTTTTTTTAGAGTAGGGAAAAGTTAAGGCTGGCCATACAATATACAATTTTCTTGAGAATTTTACTTTAGATTTACCAAAAACCATATAATAGGAGGTCAAACCTAAACAACACTTTCAATTGTATCCAATTGCACTACATAGTTGAAGGTAAATCTAAAGGAAATTGGGCAGAAATTGGACAGAAAATTGTATAGTGTATGGCCAGCCTAAAACCCAACATTGGCAAATTCAAAAATTCTAACTTGCAATGGGGCTGCACCCGCACTGCATAGGTTAATGGCTCGTTTAGTCTAGGAGAGAGTTAGCCCGGGTTCACACTGAAGCGGTGCGGGAAACGCAGTGAATACTGTGCATTTACTGCACCGCATTGCCATCGCACGGCGTCCATGCAATCTTGTACGGGTGTCAATTTTCAATTAACGACACCCTGAAACAGATTGCAAAATGATGGATAGATAGCTATATAGATGGACGGATAGATAGATAGATAGATAATAGATAGATAGATAGATAGATAGATAATAGATAGATAGATGATAGATAGATAGATAATAGATAGATAGATAGATAGATAGATAGATAGATGATAGATAGATAGATAGATAGATAGATAGATAGATAGATAGATAGATAGATAATAGATAAATGATAGATAGATAGATAGATAGATAGATGATAGATAGATAGATAGATAGATAGATAGATAGATAGATAGATAGATAGATAGATAGATAGATAGATAGATAGATAGATAGATAGATAGATAGATAGATAGATAGATAGATAAATGATAGATAGATAGAGATAGATAGATAGATAGATAGATAAATGATAGATAGATAGAGATAGATAGATAGATAGATAGATAGATAGATAGATAGATAGATAATAGATAGATAGATAGATAGATAGATAGATAGATAGATAATAGATAAATGATAGATAGATAGATAGATAGATAGATAGATAGATAGATAGAGATAGATAGATGGATAGATAGATGGATAGATAGATGGATAGATAGATAGATGGATAGATAGATAGATAGATAGATAGATAGATAGATAGATAGATAGATAGATAGATAGATACTGTAGATAGATTAGTACAGTGCTTTTTTTTAGCACTGCTCACTGTATTAGAGTCGTTCCCACAAAATGGCAGTTAGTGTAAGATGGTCTTCTGCAATATCACAGTCCCGTTATAATTCGCTGATTGCCGCCATTTTAATATAAAACAATAAATAAATACAAATTCCAGTATATATACTATAGTTTGTAGACGCTATAACGGTAAACCAATCAATATATATATGTTTATTGGGATTTTTGTTTTACCAAAAATATGTAACAGAATACATATTGGTCTAAATTTATGAAGAAATCTGATTTTTTTTTTCATTTTATTGGATATGTTTTATGGCAGAAAGTATAAAATATTGTTTGTTTTTCAAAATGTTTGGTCTTTTTTTTTGTTTATAGCACAAAAAATAAAAAAAAACCCAGTAGTGATCAAATACCACCAAAAGAAAGCTCTATTTGTGGGGAAAAAAACGATATCAGTTTTGTTTTGTGTACAGTGTTACATGACCGCACAATTGTCAGTTAAAGTAAAGCAGTGCCAAAAAGCCAAAAATGACCTGGTCAGGAAGGAAGGGTAAATCTTCTGGAGGTCAGGAGGATAGAATACCCAGATTGACAGTCAGGTAGGTAGATAGGTGGGTTTGGATTCATACACATGTTCTATATTTATTTTTATTTTTTTCAGGTACTTATACTGCGCCATCACTTTACACAGCACTTTCCATATATATTGTACATTCACATCAGTCCCTAACCCCCAAGGGGTGTACAATCTAAGGTCCCTAACCCTCAAGGGGCGTACAATCTAAGGTCCCTAACTCACATTCATACATACACATACTAGGGACAATTTAGACAGGAGCCAATTAACCTACCAGCATGTCTTTGGAGTGTGGAAGGAAACCGGAATACCCGGAGGAAACCCACGCAGGCACAGGGAGAACATGCAAACTCTAGGCAGGTGGTGCCGTGGTTGGGATTTGAACCAATGACCCGAGTACTGCCAGGTGGAAGTGCTAACCATTTAGCCACTGTGCTGCCCACATTCTATATAATGTAATGGGGCCATGTTGGGCAGGTGACATTTTTTTCTCTTGCATCTCCATCACAGTCCGAATCTCCTGATCTGTCAGCAGACACACGTCAGTCCGGATCAGTCTTCCTCCTAATTACCGTATATAAATATCTTGTGTCTCCTCTGCAGATCTCCTCCTGGTCTGACGTCAGTAACCGCGACACGTGCCGGTCTGGTTATAGCGAACTCATTATTGGTCGCTGTGTTGTCTGCCATTTTGGGAGCAGAATAATAAGGAAGATTATATAGCCATCCATCTGCGGGGATAAATGGAACATTCATTTCACTTTATCAGCCATCTTGGCGTTATTAATAACTGCGAGCCTGTTCTATAAATAGCCATCTGTAGAACGCCTTTTCCCTGTCTGTGGTGGTGGCTGGAGAGAGAGGTCATTAAATGTCCCTCAATCACCGCTGTCACCGGCATCCATGCGGTACAAGCCGGCTATGATGGTGGTATGGGTGAGGGGACAATGGGTTGTGCGCTGATAACTGTCATAGCCGATGTCTTATGAATATAATTATAGACTTTATTATACATATAGATCTCATCAATGACTTTTCTATACTGTGTTGTGACAGAGCTTTTCATCTTTCATATATAACCTACTGTCATGGTAACCTGGTATTCTCCCCGTTCCAGTTTATACTTACAGATGAAGTTGGCATTTCCTGATTCCTCCATCACCATTCATCAAAATGCTAATAAAATGATTAAATAAAACCTTTCCATTTTCAATACATATGTTGTTTGTTGGTTCCCCTTACACTGGTGGTCAGTGGGAGAAGGGCCCCCTTACACTGGTGGTCTGTGGGAGAAGGGCCTCATTACACTGGTGGTCAGATGGAGAAGGGTCCCCTTACAATGTTGGTGATTGAAAGAAGATCTCCTTTAGCCCAGGTTCACACTGATGCGGTGCAGAATTTGCAGCGGTTTCTGTGTGAATTCCGCACCGCATCAGAATCGCACCCCATTCATGTGAACCGCTGCGGGTGTGTATGTTAAGTTAACAACACCCCGAGAGCAGTCCGCAAAATGTGGTGCGATGTGCAGAATCGGATTGCATAGGTGTGAATACCCATGCGATCCAATTCTAGTGCAGACCCAAAAAAGGGGTCCTGCACCTTTTTGGTGCAGGTGCGGTGCGATTAGAGCCATACAAAATGTACGGCTCCGATTGCACTGCACACAAATCGCATGTGATTTGCAGTTAATGCGGTGCGTTTCCTTTGCGAATCACATGCGATATACCGCACCGCATATATGTGAAACTGGGCTTACAATGGCGGTCAGTTGGAGAAAGGCTTCTTTACACTGGTGATCATTGTGAGAAGGACCCCTTTTCACAGGTAGTCAATGGAAAAAGGGCCCCCTTACATTGATGGTCAGTGGGAGAAGGGCCCCCTTACAATGGTGGTCAGTGGGGACTGGTGGTTCATGGGAGAAGGGCCCTATCACACTGATGATGAGTCGAAGAAGATCTCCTTTACACTGGTGGTCAGTTGAAGAAAGGCTTCTTTATGCTCGTGATCATTGGGAGAAGGACCCCTTTTCACAGGTAGTCAATGGAAAAAGGGCCCCCTTACATTGGTGGTCAGTGGGAGAAGGGCCCCCTTACAATGGTGGTCAGTGGGCACTGGTGGTTCATGGGAAAAGGGCCCTATCACACTGATGGTGAGTGGAAGAAGATCTCCTTTACACTGGTTGTCAGTTGAAGAAAGGCTTCTTTATTCTTGTGATCATTTGGAGAAGGACCCCTTTTCACAGGTAGTCAATGGAAAAAGGGCCCCCTTACATTGGTGGTCAGTGGGAGAAGGGCCCCCTTACAATGGTGGTCAGTGGGCACTGGTGATCAGTGGGAGAAGGGCCTTCTCACACTGGTGGTGAGTGGAAGACATTACATTGGTGGTCAGTTGGAGAAAGGCTTCTTTACGCTGGTGGTCAGTGGAAGAATGGTCCCTTTACACTGGTACCCCATTTACAGATATGGCAAAGATCACTGGAGTCAGTGGCTACTTATCCAAGATGTAAAAAATTGCTCATTTCCCAAGGAACTCCTTGGCAATCTCTGGAGGAACCCCAAGGATCCACAAAACTCTGAATGAGAAATGCTGCTCTATAGTGTGACTATGTACATGATGTTAACCCCTTTTGCAGTACTGACAACAACTGTGTATACAATGTGTTCCCTCATATCTATCTGTCTTCCAGGAAATGATATTGTGTGTACATAAAAGATACACGCATTAGCCTGGAAGCTCAGGCATCAGAACAGAATGTATAGGCAATGGTGCTTGTCATACTTTATATACCGATGAGCTATTCGTACTCTACTCCTACTGAGATCTCCGAACACCGCCTCTGCTTGTACCGTGCAATGAATCGTCATATAGACTCCATCAATGAGATACGATAAATCTAGGCAGTGATAGAATAAACCTGTATCGTGGTATCCATTGCACAATTTCTTTCTCCATTGAAGGCCTATGTGACAGAAGGACAATGCAAGAGCACAACTATGGCCCTATAACAGCCGATTATATATGTAGTTCAGCACCATATTCAGCTGTTTGTTGGGAGTTTGGCATTAAGCAGTACAGCGCACTCTAGTCTGGATCACGCGGAGTTGGAGCAGTTATTTACTTGTCACTTTGCCACCTCACAGCATCCTTAACATTGGCAGGTAATTATTTTCACAAGAAGAATGAAACAACATCAATTTGGGTCAGTTGTGGCTTCCTTGCCACCTGGGGTTGAACTATTTTGATAAAATGTCAACACGGCTCCCTCGAGGGAGCAGAAAGTTACATGTTTCTAAAAGCAAAAATAAAACAGTTTCAGAAGTCTGTAGAATTTTGGGTTTATACTCTGTGGGCAAAAGTTTTTGGAGACCTGAACATCACACCTATAGGAGCTGGTTTGATGTCCCATTACAAAATCGTTGACATTTATATGGAGTTGCACCCCACTTTGAGTCTCACTCTTCTAGGAAGACATTCAAAAAAAATTTTGAAATTTGTGACCATTTAGCGAAAGGAATATTTGTGAGGTCAGGTAGAGTTGGAGAAGACCTGGCTGGCAATCTATGTTCCAGTTCATTCCAAAGGTGTTCAGTAGCGTTGAGGTAGGGTAGGGTCACTTGAGTTCCTCCACATAAAACTCATCAAACCAAGTCTTTATGGAGCTGGCTTTGTATACAGGGGCCCAGCCATGCTGGAAGGGAAAAGGGCCTTCACCAAACTGTTACCACAAGGTTGGAAGAGGACCATTGTCTAAAACAGGGTTTCTCAACCAGGGTTCCATGAAACTCTAGGGTTCCTCCAGAGGTTGCTAGGGGTTCCTCGAGCATTGCACAACCTCTGCCTCTCAAATATGTTCCCACTGACACCAATAATTTTTTTATCTGTAAGGGGGTAATTCTTCCCAATGACCACAAGTGTAGGGAGCAAATTTTCCCACTGACCATCACACAAATGTATCATAAGTTGCAGATATAGTCATTTTTAAGCACGGGTTACCTGAGACCAGAAACTTATTTCAAGGGTTCCTCTGTGTTGAAAAGGATGAGAAAGGCTGGTTTAAAATGTCTTTGTATGTTGTAGAATTAATAGTACTCTTCACTGGAGACACCTGAACACAATTCTTTGGGGAAGCCACACACTTTTGGCCATAGAATAGGCAGCCAAAGTTATCCATGTGTTTTATCTCCACAATATCATTTTACAGATCCTGAAATCCTTTCCTACCCCTCTCTGTACAATTAGTTAGTTTTAAACCAGAACTTCAGCCAAAAAATGTTTTTTAGTTTTAGATTTAGCTTTTTTTTTTCTCATACCTGTTGGGAACTTTTTTTTTCCACTCGTTGTTACACATAAAACAATAAATACCCAACTTTCATTGTTGTAATTTTATTTCTAGTTTTATTCTTAAACTGATACAGTTCTTATATAATTTTACCTATAGCCCTGATGAAGGACATATTTAACGTCCTGAAATGGGTTCGATAAGAAAAACAAAAAAAAACAGTTTGTTGTAACTGATTATAAAGGCATTAACAGGGGTTTGGCTTCAGTTTGTTTTGTGTATTTAAATTTGCTGGTACATCTTAGGGCTCTTTCACACGAACATTCCGATCGGGTCCGTCTGCCCGTTTTTCAGGAGGACCCTATCGGAACCTCCATTCTCCTCTACAGAGCTGCGGGTGTAAACAGACATGTGTCCATTTACACCCGCGAATATCCGATCTGATCCGATCCACCAAAAAATAGCGGATCCACTAAACGTGTCCGTTCCATGTGAAAGAGCCCTTACACTTTACTGACCCTCCCCCATGACTGACAAGGCTGCTGTCAAAAGGTGCCTCCTGTGCTCTTTCACCCAGAATGGAGGAACTCTAATACAGGAGATGTGTTACTGGCCAGATCACCAGGTGAAAACAGAGGGGAAAAAAAGCCTAAAAAAAAAGAAAACAAATTCAGCCACCACATCTAATGATTGGTAAGCTGCAATACAATACATTTTTGGTTTTGGGTTTTATACCAGTTTAAGCCTAAAGAGGGAAAAGGGTATAACGTGCCTTTTACAGTTTTACATGAGGAACTAGCCACATAAATTCAGCTTTAGCTAACTTACCTATAAATAAAGTTAGATGGTGATTTATGACTCTTAAGTCATCATGGTCTAAACAATTTTAGTATGGAATATGAAGACTACCTTGGATAAACAACACTTCTAAGCAACAGTGTATATGCCCATAGTCATTTTTTGGGGGGTCATGGTGACCTGCTCCTCTTAAATCTTTCTTGTGCTAGGATATATCTCGGTCACATAACATTATCCTGCAATAATATCCTACAGGTTCACAGATCAGTTAATAAATTACTTTTGTGCTTCTCATCTGCTTAGCAATACCTTCCTGAGCTCTGACCATAGCTGAGAGCAAAAATTTAAAATTTTGCATACGTTCTCAGTAGTAGACATTCTTTGAGAGAAACAAAGTCATACTCAGTATTAAAAAATTAAAGGTTATTGGTCACTTAAAGGGAATGAGTGGTTTTCTATATATTTAAGCTTTATTTATCAGAAACAAGATAATAATGATGTGACTTGATCTAGAGCAGCCTTTCTCAATCAGGGTGCCCAGGCACCCTGGGGTGCCTTGAGTTCTTTCCGGGGGTTCCTTGGCAAAATGTTTAAAAGTTGCCCAAAACTTGTATTAAAGCCAGTGGGTGGAAGAAGCCTGACTTTTTAGTTACACAAAGCCACAGGTTTTCATTGAGCACCATTACGACCTTCTAGCCACCGGCGTCCTGACAACCAATGACATCATCAGTTGATTAGGAGGATGTCAGTTGCCTGCACAGCATCTTTGACTCTCCCCTAGTTTTTTACATTTTAGAATGGGGTGCCTCAAGACTGTTCATAATTGTAAAGGGTGCCTTGGAACTGTCCATAATTTTAGAAGTGCCTTGAAATTGTTCATAATTTTAAAGGGTACCTTGACTGAAAAAAGGTTGAGAAACGCTGATCTAGAGAATAGAGAGAGGTCTGGGGGCAAATTTGAGTAATGTCTGTCCATACAATTTAACTTTTGCAGGCCAATTTATTGACATAAAATAGTTGAGCTGGATAATCTTAACCTCTTCACGCTGGCCGAAAGCAAATGTGCGGCCTCCCGGCATCTGGGCCTAGACGCCGAGTGGCTGCACATTTGTGTTCTATTAAAAAATACATATGTGCTGGGAGCACGCGCCCTGCACGCTCCCAGCACACATGTCCGGTACTCACGGAAAGGTCCCGATCTCCTCTTTCGATCGGGACCTGTCCTGATCATGTGACCGCTGTGATGGCGCATCACGGCGGTCACATGACTCTAAACCCCGCCTCCTGAAACCCTTAAAGGGCTGGGAGCGAAGGGGTTAAAATAGCATTGACCCCAAACCAATCGAATTACTTCTTGTCTCATTAAAAAGGATTTGTTATTATATAGACCAGTACCTTTAACTCTGCATTTTTTGTTCAATTTTCCTGTTCTTACCCTCTAAGCCAGTGGTCTCCAAACTGTGACCTGAGGGCCAGACATAGCCCTTTGCTAGCCTTTATCCGTCTCTTGGGGCATTATTCCTCTCAGTGATATAGAGCACTATTCCTCCCACTGACACTAACAGTGGGGCATAATTCTTGCAACTGACCCCAATGATGGGACACTATCCATTCCACTAACACCAATGATGGGGCATTATTCCTCCCACTGATACCAATGATGGGGCGCTATTCCTCCCA